AGTATCTCCCCTCCCTCAACTTCTCCCCACATTTTGTCAGACAACCTTGATATGAGTTTTAATCACTCCCACCTTCCAAGCCCTGTTATGAAAGGCATGTCTTTCAGCACAGCTTAGGAATGGATCAAGTAAACTGCTCCCTAAGGACTGGTAAAGCAAAGGAAATGGTTAAAAGGACTAAAAATATGTATTAACCTTGTGGACCCATGGTTGGTAAAATGACACCTGCTCAGATACAGGCAGTCTGTGAAAATGAGAGGCAAGGGAATAGAAAACTAAATGTAGTGGCTTAAAATGTCAGAACAGAGTTTGTCTGAATTAGAAGGTGCAGAGGGTGAGTGAGGGGAGGATGTGCAGGAGGGGAATGCCAGAGCGTAATTATGGAAAATAATCTTGTGTCCATGTGGTTGTGAGGCAACCTGCAGGATTTAGGTTAATGAGGAATCAAGGTCCACTCACCACTCCATATCAGCTATCTAAACAGTCACTATTGAACTAGAAAAATGGTTCCTCATTCATTCTTTATTTCCTGTCTTCTCAGACCTCTGGAATTTTCACCTCTTTCGTTTATCCACAAATGAAAAATGATTCTGTATTCAAATAAATTTATTGTAATATATAATAAATAGACATAACATACTTCCTCTTGCATTCCTGAAACTTTTATTCTGATTTTTTTTTCAGGAGAGTGTTTTTGTCACTGTGACTTCTCCACTGTAATAAAACTCCTTCTGGGGATGTAAAAACAACTCACCTGTAATTTCCAGTCCCAGAGTTGCTTGGGGCACTGTGAGTTTAAGTAATTTGCCCAGAGTCACACAGTTTGTTTCAGAGTTAAGATTCTTCTTCTGGATGCCTACCTGAAGCTTTGATTGGTATCAGTAGACCCGAGGTTCTAGTTCCAGTTCTGTCATTTATTAGATATACATGTCCTTTGGCAGATCACTTAAACCCTCCCAGGCTCAATTTCCCCATCAGTAAAATGAGAAAGTTAAACTAAATGTTCTCTAAGATCTCTTCCAGTGATAAAATTCTGTGATTCTATGGCTAACTACTCTGTGCTTTACAGATCTTCCTATCTGATTCTGTCCTCAAAAAATCAGTGAATTCTAGAGTAAATGTTATATCTGGAAGGGACCTTACAGATCCAGTAACTGCACTCCTCTCATATTTCTATATTTATTTTGTTTGACCAAATTTTGTTTTTTACACCGTAGTCACTTGCTGACATACATATTCCTAAATTCACTCTTGGAACAAAGAAAAATTGTTAAGCAAAAGTAATCAATACAATACCACATCTGGCCATGTGTGCAACCATTCCATGGTCTCCCATTTTTCTACAAAAAGGAAGGAGGCAGATTTGACCATCTGTTCTCCTGGATCCAAATTGGTCATATAGATAATTTGTAGTCACATAACTGAGGAGTTTGGACTACAACTCAGATCTTCTAACTTAGGGTCAGTGTTCTTTTCATTTCACTATACTGACATAAAATACTTTTTGTTGAAGTTATGCTCTTCTTAATAGATAATCAGAGTATCTTTTTATGAATATTTAGATTGATCTAACTGGGGCTAACAGTGAAATTTTCACATTTCAATTAAATATTAACTCACCCAAGTCAATAAAGCACCCCTTGCTGTTTTACCTCACCAATAACATACTACAGAAATAAGTAAGGATAATGAGTCTTTAATTTTTCCAAAAGTTCTATTGAATGTCTAGGTAGCAAATATTATCACCCCTCTGATACTTGAGTGAATCCATGATCTCAGCACCATGAAGACTCCTTTCCAGCAGCACAGATCGGCAACTCATCCATGCCTTCCAAACATGAGCGGTTCTTCTCCGTCCCCTCCCATAAGTCTTTGATAGAGGTGCCATGGTATGGTGGAAAGGGAGCTGGACCAGGAATCAGGAGAGACCTGGTTTCAAATCGTTTTGCTGATTCTGACTCCCTGTGTGGTCAAGGGCACGTCGTATCCCAGGGGGGTTGTGAGGGCCGACAGAGATAATGTCTGTAAAGCTCTTTGCCCACTTTGAAGGGCCTCTGTAAATATCAGATCTCACTGAACATTTCATGCATCTAGAATAATGGCAACTAAACAGGACCTTTGTATCAGCCCTTCAGTGTCCACTAAGAATGATGCATTTACTTATTTTGTGGACTGTTATGTTTAACTTGGACAGTCTTTACTATTAAATGCAAAACTCACAATTAAAAATTCTTTTCTAGTCAATTATGGGGAAAAATTTTATCACCTTGCAGTATTGTGACAACTCCTGTGGTTCAGGAGCTCTTAAGTGCTAAGTACATAAGACTCCCTCAATTACTGTTTTACTCTTTAGGGGAAAGGAGAAGGAAGGACGTAGTTTTTATAAAGCAGTAAATTTCATATCTTAGTGTAAATTTGTGTTGAAGTGGAACTTTCACCCAGCATTGTCATCATTATTATTGTCTATTAGTATCATTGTTGTATATTATAGGAATTGAGATAAAAGCAGACTTGTATGGTCACAGAGTAAAAGCGGGGGATACCAACAGATAGACCACCCAAATGGGACAGTGATATCCACAGAATACTTAAAGACAAGCAAAGGAACACCTCTGATCTTTTGGGTAGTTGCTTTATGGAGAATTTTTGGTGGTAGACAATAAAATTCTGTAGGATGGAAAGGCATGGATTGGTGGCATTTTGCACCAGTGGAGGGAGTATCCACAATGAATCATCATTTTCTATGGAGTTCAGATAGAAGTAGTCACTATCGTAGTATCTTTTATGTTAAGTGTTTCACTAACTCATGCAGGAATATATAACTGTTTTTTTATAACATTGGGATGTAAGCACATTGTCGTCTGTAGACTCCTTGAACGTACCATTAGGACAGCTAGAGTAGCACGTAGGACACGGAGAACGATATGCATCTCATCCCGTGCCAAGATGGTTTGGACTTCTTCTACTTGGTTTCTGTATTTTGGTATAGTTGATCTGCTAGCTGGATTCATACTGTCAGACTCCAAAAGGGCTTTTAGGAATTCCAGTCTAAATATGTTCATCTCCTTTTCAAAATAATTGTTAATATCATATTCTGCTTTTATCATCAGTTTTGTTTTTGGGTATGATATCTGTAATCTGCATTAAGTGAAGATTTTCAGTGACTTCAGGGCCTTCCGTTTTTGATGGACAATTTAATCAGTGGTCTCACCATAACCCAGTTGGCCAGTGATTCAAGGTTCCTGCCAGGCCTTCACAGATACCTATAGTGATCTCAGGGCACAGAGTCCCCATCTACATCGCCCTGACTGGCATTATCTTATTTTGCTGTCTTGCCTTTCCCCCAGCTCTCCCATGGCATAGATGAATGGGCTTACAGGGAATAGGACACTTTGTGCTTGCCTAGCTGCACTGTGATCCAGTGTGAACAACCAGGACTCATGAGACTGAGCTTTTTTGAGGTCAGACTCATTTGCAGCTGCTCTTAGTACATGTGCAAGACATTGGTTAATCAAGACCTTGATTGACTACTGCCAGATGGAATTAGCCAAATGCAGTCAGCTGTGTAGAGAAAGTGAAATTGCCACCAAAGTCAAGGGCATAATCAATGAGCTTATGGCCACCATCAATTGCTTCCAGTCGTATTGGGCATAAAATTGTCTACAAGAAGGAGGGCAAGAGGTATTGGTGCATTTGGAATCAGAGGACTTCCCTTTCTGTACATATCTCCAAACTGCAGGTATTCCCTCTCTTCCAATTATGAGACATTTTATACCTCCTTATCTCCAGTTGTTTAAATAACTTTGTCATCATCATTATTATTTTCATTACTACTATTACTACCATCACTGCTGCTGCTGCTACTAGTAATTATTTAGTCGTTTCAGTGTCAGACTGAATTCAGTTTCAGACTCTTTGGAATCTTCTTGGCAGAGATACTGGAGTGGTTTGTCATTTCTTTCTCCAGTTCATGTTAAAGATCGGGGAAACTGGGTCAAACAGGATTAAGTGACTTGCCCAGGGTCACACAGCTATTAAGTGTCTGAGGTTAGATTGGAACCCAGGTCCTACTGACTCCAAGACTCCTGCTGTATCCACCACAGTGCCACGTAGCTGCCCACTAGTACTACTAGTAGTTACTACTAATAGTAGTCGTTATCACTATTGATACGAGTCTAGAAGCTAGACAATGCAGTGGCTAGCCTGAAGTCAGGAAGACCCTAGTTTAATATGTCCTCAGACATTTACTTGCTATGTGACCCTGGACAAGTCATTTAATGTCCGATGAAATGTCTTTTCCATCAAGGGCTTTAGCATCCATATGTTCCCTTTCTGTACCTATCACCGGCCTTAGTTCTCCCCCCACACTCCAACACACACACACACACACACACACACACACACACAAATTAAATGACCAAATTGTAGTAAGTAGAGTGAAAGAAACCTTTCCTGAAAAGCATCTGTCTAAGAACCCACGTTCAAGTAGTTCCACATGGGGCAAACAAAATGTAACGATCCCTCTTCTACAGATTCTTAGAATGCTGATTTGAACAGATGTGGAAAAGTCTTGCATTGACTCTTCCACTGAACTAGGAAACTTGGGAGGTGGGGGAAAGCAGTGGACACAGAGGAAGGAAATGCCTCAAACTTAAGCATTTTAAATATGCACAAACAGGTAAGTAAATTTCACAGAATTGTGGGTAGTTACCAAGTGATTTTCCAAAAGGGCCAGGTAGAAGTTTTCAACCCCCTTTTATTTTCCTTAAGGTAGGCTCCACATGTGTGGCATTTCAAGACAATAGCTGAGTTGGGGAAAGACATTCTAAGGTGAGAGAAGCATGGAGATGGGAGTGGGATGCCCAGATAAAGCACTGCAGTCCTTCTAATGGACATAAGTTCATCATAGGGCTACTGAGTTCATAGGAGAAAACTTTAATTCAATCTGCTTTCTCTTCTCCCCTCCCCCAACCCCATCCCCTTACCAAATGTATCCCCAGGTGCTTTTCCTACTGCTGCCCTGTATGAAAGGAAAGACTTACTCCAGAGATCCACCCATATTGCTACCAAGACTTTCCAAGCCCTCCGAATATTTGTAAACAATGAGCTGAATGAACTCTGTGTGGGACTGAAGACAGCTCAGAAGTTTCTGAAGCCAGGGGGTCGCCTTGTTGCCCTTTCTTTCCATTCACTGGAAGACCGCATCGTCAAACGATTCTTGCATGGAATCGATGTGACAGAAAAGCTTAGACACAAAAGGAGACAGAAGATAACCCAAGCCCCAGGACTGTGTTTAAATCTAGAGAACGAAGAAGAATTCTTTAGAAGCTCATCTCCCTTGGAGTGGGAAATGATACACAAGAAGGTGGTGACACCGGAAAGCCAGGAGGTCCAGGACAATCCTCGAGGGCGCTCTGCCAAGCTCCGGGCAGCTATCAAGTTATAAAAACAAAAACATCACCTATTCTTTTCCCTCATTTTTGTCTATATCATTTTTTTAAAATTAGCTTTTTAAACAGCTCAAATAAAATAAAATGTTAGGGATATAACAACCCAGGATTTGAGTATCAATCACTTTCTGTGGAAAGTAAGACTCAAGGAACATAAACGTGACAAGAAAAATCCAGCACATGAATCTGTGTTCCAAGACTAGAAAATTATTTCATTTTAGTGAAGAAAAAAAAAGCCATGTGACGGTTTTTAAGTAGTCCCCTAATCAAGAGAATATTAATAAATTATAAATGAATACAATTTAAAGAATAAGTATGGTACTATACTTATCTAAATATGTAGACCCAAACTATGTTCTAAATTCTCAATTAAGAAATTCAAATTCTGCAACAGTCTTTTTATGGCTCAATGAATTGGTCCTAACCATAAAGGAAAACTTAATTTCTCTCACTGGGGATAAAGAATTATTACTCTAGCTTTCTCAAATACAGGTACTAGGCTACTTAACAGTCTTCAAGTGTCTCTCAGTAAGAAATCATCTTATACCAATGAATTTCATTGTTGTAATTGTCATGATTAATATCTAAAAGTTTTTATCAGTCCATATAATGTAAAACTAAAATTGGTATATATCAAGTCAACCAGCATTTATATTAAGCACCTACTATGTGCCAGGCATGATATCATTTCTATTATATCAGTTTCATGAATTGGGAAAATAAACATTTCACCAGATCAGCACTGAATGTATATTTTAACAGAGAAAACCTGTTACAGTGTGATATTACTTGTCTTTTGAATGTTTCATTTCATAGATCGTTTGATAGCTCATTGGCATAGTCAGCTCCTAACTTAAATTCAGGAAGAAAGACCTGATTTAAAATCCCTCCTCAAGTTTAGGTTCCTTAATTTCCCTGCCTCAGTTTCCTTATCTATAAAATGAGCATAATAATAGCACCTACCTCACAGAGTAACATACCCAAAATGATTTTCAAATTTTAAAGAACTACATAAATGTCAGCTCTTATAGATCCAAAGAAAATAGACTGAAGCTTTTTTTAATTATTAAAAAAGTCTGATTTATAAAACATACAAATACAAGATATTACTTTCAAACAAGTATAATAACTGGAAATAGCATAGCAAAATGTAGAATAGAACTTCCTTGGGGATCTGCTTTAATGAACAGTCAAAACCAGTTTATCTTTGTTTGTAAACATGGTCTTCAGAGTGATTTTCAGGATCTTTCTGGGACTCACAGAATTTTGAACCGAAAGGGACCTCACAGGCTATCTGTTCCAATTCACGTCTAAGCAAGAATTTCCTCTACCATATACCAGGCAAGTCTTCATCTAACCTGTGCTTGAAGATAAGCAGTGAGGAGAGGGAGGAGGGAGACAACTTACCACTTCCTGAGAAAGCTCTGTTAGAAAATTTCCCCTTCCTATAACCTATATTAAATTGCTTGCCTTCTCACTGAGGGCGGCAGGGAGGATGGGAAAGAATTTAGAACCCAAAATTTTAAAAACTAATGTTAAAAAAATGTTTTGCATCTAATTGGGGAAAGATAAAATACTAAAATTTTTTTTAAAAAGAAGGGAAAATTTCCTCTTCCATCAAGTTCCATCTGCAACTTCTACCTGGTAGTGCTGGTTCTATATCCTCTGAGAACAAGCAGAACTAAGTGTTTTTCTCATGACTACTCTTCAAATATATGATAGCTATTATGTCCCATCCACAACCCCAAGTCTTCTCTCCTCCAGGCGAGACTTGCTAAATTTCTTCAACTGATTTCATGTGACATGATCTCTTTGAAAACAGTTTCTTTTAAATTATGTCCCCTGAACTCTTGATTATACCATTAATTTGCTTAGTACACCCCATCTTCACAGTAAGCCTCAACTGTCTCTGCAACCATTTTCCTCACTTTCCTCATCTGTAAATGAGCTGGAGAAGGAAATGGCAAACCACTCCAGTATCTCTGCCAAGAAAACCTCAAATGGGGTCATGAAGATTTGGACAGGACTGCAGCGACCAAACAGAAGGTTGTTTAACTATAAATTGTTTCGTGACCTTGGGCAAATCATACCTTCTCCTTCGTTTCCCTAGCTACAAAAAGAGAAGCTTGAACATGATCTTGGAGGTCTTTTTTTCCATCCAAAAGTTGGATTTAGGCACGTGTAAGCATTATCTGGTTAGTGAATGTGAGAATAAAGTGAAAAGAGAATTTTGTGAGGTACGTTATAAATAAAACTCTAATGCTAGAAATCCTGATCTGAGATATATTTTGCTCAGTGCTACAGTGCCATGTGTTGGATGTCTTGCAAGGCATAGTTGGGGGAAAAAACAGTATCCTCTTCTAAAGAGGCTTGATTGTATAACAAATGAAACTATGTTTATTTTATTTTCAAAACTTTCATCTGTTTGTATCTGCTACTAGCAACTTATGTTTGGTAACATAAAATGATCAACAAGAGGGCTAAGAAAAGTAATTTTTTTAAAACCTAGTCAAAATGGAGGTGAAAATTTTTAAAAGATCTCTTCTAGAAAAATTAGACAAAGTTTGATAGGAATGATTCCTCAGATCTGTCTGCTAGATGGGCTTCAAAGTTCTCCATGCACACCAAGATTGCCTCAGCCTCTTCCTTGAAGGATTTAATGATCCACCTAAATCCTTAAATCACAACAGATTATAATGTCCTTAAGAGCAGAGAATTTTTTTTTAATCTTTGTTTACTCAACACAGTAGCTTACAGATTGTAAATATTTGAATTGAACTGTATTGAAAGTACGAGATGAAATTGAACTGGAGTGGAGAAGGTAGGTGATAGTAATAATAGATAACATTTATATAGCACTCACTATATGCTGGCTATCAAATGAGATCATAATTGCAAAGTGTTTACAATAGTGCCTTCATTTTATAGGAATTAAGACGTCTGGGTTCTAATTCCATTTTTGATACTAACTAGCTGTGTGATTTTTGGCAAGACACCTCAACTCCCTTGGGCTCCATCTGTGATTGAAAAGGATTGTGATAGATGATCTGTAGGCAGTTAGGTGGCACTACAGTGGATAGAATGCTGGGCCTGGAGTCAGTAAAGCCTGAGTTCAGATCCAGCCTCAGACACTGTGTGAACAGCTGTGTGACCCTGGGCAAGTCACTTAACCCTTTTTGTCTCAGTTTCTTCATCTGTAAAATGAGCTGAGAAGGAAATGGCAAACCAGTCTAGTATCTTTGCCAAGAAAACCCCAAATGGGGTCATGAAGAGTCATGTACTACTATAAACAACTAAGCAATGAAAAGATGATGTGTGAGAGCACTTCCCATGTCCTCTCTGTGAAATGAGAGCTAGATGGACTCCCTGATCATATGCTTGCTTACAACTCTAACATCCTGTGATTTTGTAGATCACTACATACCTCACTGCCTAAATTGTGTTCTTTAGCTCTCTTATCACAACTTTCATTTGTTTATTGACTTATTTAGATAGTATTTTCTACCATCTTAGCTCTGAGACCCTGAGGTGGGACATGCTGCATAAATAATGGTGTCCCACTTTTCCATTCTAATTCTTAAGCAATTAAAAAGCCCCCAGCAACCTGCATGGGTCAGTATGACACATCATTATTTCGCTGGTAGGTAGATATCCTCAGTGGATTGAATCAGTTTGTCCACAGAGTATTTTTTAAAAATATGCTTTTAAATAAGAAAAAAAAAGACAGAATGAATCTCAATCATTTCAGCATTACAAAATAATATTTGATAATCTCCTTGTGTTCCTAGACAGGGCCAATAATTGGTTCAAAAACAAGGATAAATAGGGTCCCTTTCTGATTCTGCCTGTAGTATTCTTTATGATTGCTCCTTTTGTGGATCTCCCTCTACCTGCTTCCTCAGAATCTGGAAAACAAATATATATAACAGACGCCGCGTTTGATCAGAAAGAAACTAGGTTGAAGGGCACACCAGATGTTTTTCCCCATTTATTAATATGTGTATATTATGTATGTGTCTATGTACATATAGTATGTACGTATTTTGGTCAGAAGAAACAACCCAACCCTGTACTCCAATGTTGAACATATATAGCCATTCTAGACTCTACCATTGTTACTTTGAAGAAATTCAACATTTGCCTTACAACTACAGAATAAACATCAGCTGCCAGGGAAGGCTATTGAATTTCAAAATCCCTTTGAAATGTCACATTAACCTGTTTAACTTTCAGTCCGTCCTTTAAAGCATCAAACATTTCCTGATGACTCCCAGATTTCCCATTCCTTTTCTTTTTCCAACTTGAAAGTTTGTTTCCTCTCTGGCACAAGCAGCTCTGGTGAATGAATCAGTCCTACCTGCTCCCAATAGACATTTCTCAGGGTTGGTTCCATTCTTACACAGGAGACAGAGAGGTAAGAATGCAACAGATGTTCCTTCTGGATGATCACCTATGAAAGTGAAAGACTATCATGGCATAGTATTGAACGTATATTATTTAGAGACAAGGTACAAGGTTCAAGTCCTGGCTCTACCATTTACTACCCAAATTACTTTGTGGTAAGATATTTAACTTCTCAGGGCCTCAGTTTTCTCATTTGTGAAATGAAAGGGTTGGGCCAGATGACTTGTAACGGTCCTTTCCATCCCTAAATCCATGCTCCTATGATCCCATCCTTTTTAAAATAGCGTGTAGATTGCCACTTGGAATCAGGAGAACCTGGGTTCAAATTCTAACATTTTATCATTGTGTGAGCATAGGAAAATCACATAAAATTTTTGGGCTTCAGTTTCCTCATCTATAGAATGGGGGCAATAATACCTGCAGGATAGACCTTATGAAGTTGTTTTGAGGCCCAAATGAAATCAACTAGATAAAGCACCATTGGAATGTCCAAGTACTGTGTAAATGCCAGAGATTAACAGTGGGCATAGAGTCTCAGATTAGAAGTCATCTAATCCAAACCCCCTAATTTTAAAGATGAGGAAACTGGATCACATAGAGCTTCAGTTACCCAAGTGATAAGTGGCAGAGAAGGAATTCAAACTCAAGACCCAACTAGAAATCTACAAGTCCTTCTACTAACTGGCTTTCTTCCTTTGAAAGATAAAAAACATTTAAGACCTTAAGTCTCTATGTAAACATTAGCTAAAAGAAGGGCATTTTATAATCGAAAGATTATGTTGGCATTTTCTTTTACATATGAGTAAGGGCACAAGGCATCTGACAGCTAATTCATCCTGCTGTGCCGAACTGGTTTCTTTAGTTATCCTTTTAAATCCTTTTAGCAGTGGAAATTCCCCTTATCACAAAGTTAAGAAACCTGGATTCTGATCTTGGGTCTGCAATTAACTAGAAATGTCCTCGCAAGTTATTTAACCTATAGAGATCTTAGTTTCTTCATCTGTAAAATTAGGGGGTTGGAGGAAGGGAGCTCCAAGATACCTTCCAGCCTTAACATTCTGTGATTATTTTGTAAAGTAGAATGTGGGGCTGAATCATCAGTAAATCAATTTCCTGGGGGCACCTAACCGATAGCCTGCATGCCTCTGTTCACACCAGCATGATTCACATTTGATTTTTATGCTTCTTTTTACACTGTTCTTAAAGCTCTCTCCAGCATATATGTTTGAAATTAGAAGCTTAAAAAGAGAGACTGACTTTTGTCCGAGTGAGTGATATATTTCCTAGAACAATATACTACCCACTACACTATCAGTACTCTTCAGCATTGACCAGTGTGTTAAAAGCAC